CCTCTGACTCCTTCTACTGATACCTCTGCAACTCAGGGTCTGTCATGAACACAATCCCCTTACTATAGACTGAATGTTTGTGTCCCCCTCCCCCAATTCATATGTTGAAACCTAACCCTCAAGTGAGGGTATTTGGAGGTGGGGCCTTCAGGAAGTAAACAAATCTTGAAGGCAAAGCCCAGAGGAATGGGATTCGTGCCCTCAATAAAAGATATTCCAGAGAGCTCCCTCACCCCTTCTACCACGTGAGGATACAGTGAAAAGAAAGGAGGTTCTCATCAGGCACTGAACATGTCAGTGCCTTGATCTTAGACTTCTCAGCCTCCAGAACTATGAGAACTAAATGTTAATTGTTTATACGATGACCAGTTTATGGTATTTTATTACAGCAGCCTGAACAAACTAAGACACTCCTATATCCTTTAACCTCATTTGGTAGGTGTTTCTGTCACCTTTATCTAACTGAAACCTGGCTATCACTTGAGGACCAAGCACACTCCCCTCGCAGTCCTCTCTGGGGGTGGCTATTTTTTCTCCTACAACTTATATATCAATGCTTTGCAAACATTAAATTGTAACCCATTAGTGTGTAGTAAATAGAATACTTTTAAAATAAAGCAATACAATAGAAAACATCAGCATGTACTGCATGTAGTCAAGGTGTGTACTTTTTCAGGAAAGTTTCACACCTTGAAACTATAAATGAAAAAATATATATACAAATGAAAATCACTGCTTTACAATATCTCAGAAGTAGAGTAAGCATTCCCTTTGCTCTTCATTCCTGCCTCAACTACCATTTCCTTCCTCCTTCAATAATGTCCTGCTGCTTTGAAGCACATGCCATCAAACCACTCCACACAGTTCCCTTTCCTTGTTATTATCAGCTACCATACTTCTGGTCATTCTCTGTCTTTCCCTAAAGACTCCCTCAACTCATCATTCCTGGGGACTTCACTATCCATGCGGACAACCCATCTCATGCCTTTGGTTAAATTGTACAGGTATGATGATTGAAATACTGAGATATTTCCACACTGCGGGTGCCTCCAGGACCCTGCACCAGCACTTTAACCTTCATTCCTTTTGATGGATTCATGTCCATGCTGTTACTGTTAGTTAAATACTTCTAACACTATCCCCACCGAACACCCTAGACTCTCCGATACTTGACTCTCCCTTGCCTTAAATGATCTTTTCTACCACTGCAGACACCCACTCTCATAGCCACACCATATATCTAGTTATTATCAACAATTGCAACCCCTCCCTATCTCCAGTTCAAGCACCCCACTCTGCTGCCTCCATCTTCAGCTCACTCCATTCCAACCAGTCTGTTTACCTGGAGACTCAAGAGTACACTTACCTTTCGTCCCATCTTTGCACTGTCCAGCATTCTACTAAAGTCCTCTTTTCACCCATTATCCGGTTTGAATTCCTAGGTTTTGTCATTTATTGAATTCTTACTATGTGTTAAATAGTTTGCGTGCCCACTTCATTTTTCCTCTCCCCTAGACACCCCACGACTCTGTTCTTCATCTCATTTACCTTCAAAACAACCTGACAAAGTAGGTATAATGATATTCATTTTCTTGATCAAGAAACATTTATATATATTAACCTTCCCAAGATTATAGAAGTAAAAAGTAGAGGTTCTACAATTTTAAATGTCTGAACTGCTATTTCCTTAACCTTAAACTAGGGATAAAGATAATTTATCTCCTTGAGTTGTGAAGATCACATGAGCACAAAAGCACTTTGTAAATTGTAAAGTGTTTTACAAACATTAGTTATAATTATTAACTACTGGCTCGGGGGCCCTTACCCTTTTTCTCCACAGGAGTCCTAACCTGAGACTTCCCTCAGTCTTCCTCTTCCTTGTATAGTCATGGACATAGAGGAAGCAAAAGTTTCCACTACTCTGTTGGTAGAAAATTCATCTCTGATGTCAAGCTTCAAAACTTAGAATGGAAGAAGAGCAGCATTATAAGTGGTGATTAGGTTCTAATTGGTAATTGAAGGTATGGTTTCATTATGGAGAAACAGGCTTTTATAAGCCAAGCTGATAGTGCATGACAATCAACAGACTAATAAAGGGACTTTTATAATTCAATCCCAAACTGGTGAACACCTGCATTGTACTTTCTGATCCAAATCACATCAGGAGTTCAGAAATGAAGCCGCCAAGGCAAGAGAATCAATCTCTTAAGGTGTTTGATTGTTTGTTTGTTTGTTTGTTTGTTTGTTTTGAAGTCCTGTAGAGAACTTGGAACCTTAAACGTCTGGGAGCTCTCCCTGAGCCCCAGGTAGAACACTGCTGTGTCACAAGGAACTCTGTATTCCACTTGCTAGAAAGTGGCTATGGGCCTGGTCCATCCCATTCTGTTGTTCTGAATTCTATCAACAGGGCAGCCCTGGACCAAGAATGATATAATTAGACCCATTAGGTGTATCACTTACAGCACTAAATATAGTGACTCCCTATATCTTGTCATGACAAATAAAAATCCTTGACCTACTATTTTAGTCTTTCTATCAATGTCCCCATTTCCTTTTTCTCTACTCTAGACACCCTCACAACTCTATTCTTCATCCCACAGCATGCCACGCAGCATGTCCATTTCTACCTTCTGATTCTATACAAGATGCTCTTCCTACATTTTGTCTTCAAAGCTGATCTTGAAACGATTCCACAACAAAGTCTTTTTAAAAAATGACATCATCTGCCTACTACTCATTGCATATTTAATTACTCCACCTTGTACTATTACGTACAAATTTGGACTTATCCATATATTACTGTGAAAGGTGAGGTACCACTCTGGTGACTGGTGCACATAGATTATATGTCTAGGGCCAGGGCTTAATTCCCAATTTTGCCTTTTTTGGCTCACTTAATGCCCCTGAACTCATGCTGAGATAATATCTACGCCTCACAGTTTGTTGATTGACAGCTAGAAAGATGGCTCATTAGAAGTATAATATAAAAGTATTTTACATTTTTTCCCCAATGATGTTTAATACAGGGTTCTGGCATAAAATATATGTTTATTAAATATTAATGACATACTATAGTGCCATTAGGCCAAAGTTTACTTTGCCTCAGTTTTGTTTCAGATACAATCTCACACTGGTTTATTTCCCAAAGAAGAGGAGAGGAGGATCTGTGCTGCTTTTCATATCTGTCTATCTGCCAGTTCACCCCAAATATCCCCTTCAAGTAAAGTTAGGTTTAGGTACTTCATTATGTTCGATTTAATATTGCGTGGCAGAGGCAATGCTCAGACCCCGTTTCCTTTTCTACTAGGCACACATGCTTTACTTTCCAGACACCTCTGCAGTTAGGTAGGGCCATGTGACCACACACCTGAATTCTGGCTAAGGGAATAGGGTGAAACTGATGTACACCATTTCTAGGGCTGGATCCTGCTTTCTCTAACAGTCAACCATAGCTCTCCTTCCTTATCTGAGACCTATAGATTGGATGATTCCAAGACAACAGGGGATGGTGGAGCCACAAAACAGAGCAGACTGGTCCTTGTATGATTGCGCAAAGCAGACCCCCCACCCAGTGGCCCCAACCAACCCACTACACACTGTGACTTGTACGAAGCGTAAGACTTCACTGTGTTAATCCACTGAGATACTGGTATAGTGAGCCTACCCCAGTTAACGCACCTTGTATTTATCACCACTGGTAACATAAATCAAAGAAGACTTGGATTTAGTTCCAGGACCTGAGATACAAATACTGGTTCTACCACTCCCCCAGCATATCCTATGATCTCTCTAGAATATGTTCTATACCCTTTCCCAACTGCATGTTTAGCACATTCTCTTATTTCTCATCATGGAGCCTTCCCCCACTCTCTTCTGCCTCAAGGCTTTTGTGAGGTCTTCTCTGACCTCCCTCCTACACGTATTCACTTCTTTGCTCTTAGTGCAAAGTATATTTCTCCATTTTAGCATCCATTGCATGTTATTGCAAATATTTGTTGATGTATGTCTCCACAGACTGAGTCCTTAAATTCACAGACAGTTCCTTTGGGATCTTTGGCTCTCAGCATTTAGTTGCAGTGCGTGGCACATAGGAAAAAATATACATTAAAGGAAGGATTGTCACCTATAATCTTGAGTCATGTATATTTCTAAATGTATAAGATTTTTCAGAATTGTGATGATGAAATAATGAATGTGGGTTGTAGAGTATAGACACTCTAGCGGTAATGTGTTCGTTCTCATCTTTTCCAGTCAAATTCATCTCAATGTATTTAGGTAGCTCTGTCCAACAGAAGTGTAATGCCAAGCCACATATATAAAATTTAAACATTTTAGTAGCCATATTAAAAAGTTAAAAGAAGTACATACAATTAATTTTAATAAGTTTTAACCCAATATATCCAAAATACTGCTCATTAGCTATTTTACTTTTGTTCATGAAGTCCACACATCGAGAGCTCAGCAGCCACATGTGCCTAGCGGCTCCTGCAAATTGGACAATGCAGCTGCAAGGCCTGTGGTCTCGGTGAAGTCCCCCTGACCACCCGCATTTGGAGTTATTGACTCCTCCTCAGTACTCTCTCAAGCCCTCTATCCTTCTTATCTTGAAATCTATAAGGTAAGCTCCGTGAGGAAATCCAGACTTGTGCCTCGCGAAATCGCTCTCACAGCGATTATCTGGCATACAACGAGCGGTTGGTTATTAAATGTCGAGGTAATGGATGAACCCGGGTGCGATGAACCCCGTGGGAGGCCGAGTGGCCGGGACCGAAAATGGCCAGTCAGGGAGCGAGCGCGGGCCAGAGGCCACGGCAGGCCGGGGCCGGGACCGGGACCGGGACGCCTGAGCTTGAGGCGTCCCTGGGGGGCGGTGCCCCTCGGGCGCTCGGCGCTGGGCGCCGAAGTCTGGGGCCCCCCTCCCACTCCCCGCGCCGCGGCCGCCGCGGCCGCCGAGCCCCGGAAGCGGGCGGGGATTTCCTGTGCCCGCCCCGCCCGCGCCCGCCGGGCCGCCGTCTCCGCCTGTCGCTGGCTCCGCGGCTGCCGGCTCCGACGAAGCGAAGGGCGGAGGGGAGGGGCAGGCGGCGCCCAGGAGGGAGGCACCGGGCCGTAGGCCAAGCCGACTGGGGTGAGTGGGGACGGGCCGGAGGGAGTCACGGCTGCAGGGAGGGACGCCCGGCTTCCTGGGGCGGCGGGTTGGGGGGCCCGGTCGCCCGTGGGGGCGGGGAGGAAAATCGACGCGGCCTCCGGGTCGCTGCCTTTCCCTGGGGTCGGCCCCGCTGACATGTTTGCCCGCCCCGTCTCCCTGTCTGCCTAGTCCCCGTCTTTGCTGCCAGACCTGTGGGTTCCCGCCGCTGTCACTCGCGCACAGGTTACCCCATGGCCCCTTTCTCTTCACTTGCTCATGCCCCAGTTCACGGGAAACCTGTTTTCTGACCTCACTTCCCCTGCTCCAGCTTTGCCCGTCTCGGATACTCTGAAATCTGACGCTCTCCAGGGGCACTGTGACAAGAAGGAGGGAAGAAGCAACCTTACCCCGCAGCAGGCGCCCATCCCGCCCACGCCCCACCCGGGGTAGGGGCCAGGCTTTTCTGACCGAGCGCCACCAGTCCCTGTGCCCTTGGGCTACTTATTTCAATACCATGGCCCTTTCTCTGTCCAGCAGCACTGGCTGCAAAAACTAACTTCTGCAGGTGCCGCCTCCCTAACCCCCAGATATGTAAGGAAAAGGAGGATATGAAAGCCCTAGAACCCGACTCCAGTAGGCCTGGAATCACCCTGTGACCGGGAGAAACCAGGTTAAGGGTGACACCGTAACTGCCCAGACGCAGGCTCTGAGAGAGCGAACATCTTAGGAGATGCAGTCTGAGGACAAGGACCCACCCCCTCCCTCCTGTGCTGAGATTTTCTTGCCAGCACTTCACGGGTTTTCTGTCAGTTGTCTGGAGAGGCTCACCGCTGGCCCAGGGGGCTCTGCGGAGACAGGCCTCCCATCAAGGGACTCTGCTGCGGGGGAGATGGAGAAGTGGGTTTGAGACGGGTGTCCAGATGTTTAGCTAGAGGTGAAGTCCCGAGGGGGGATTTGTGAAGGGAGTTAGAGAACAAGGAAGACCTCTGGTGAAGAGGGGGAGTTGGTGCCTTCTATTTTAAAAGTGAGGCCAATACAGAGGCCAGAATTCAGAGGAGAGAACCAAAATGAAACTTTTCCTTTCTTGCTTTATCGGGAATTTTACTTTCTCATGAGAAGTCTCTGAGAAAGAAACTTTCTAAACTGGGAATCAGTCCAGGATGCTCCCGTGGGGCACTGGGGCATCTTTGGGCTTCTGGGATGAAAGGGGAATTTTCCCTTCCTGTGCATTGGGCTTAGGGTTCCTATCTACCTCTTTCGTCAAAGAGAAATGAACAACTTTATATCTGTTATTACTCATCCTGGGCTTCTGGGTTCTTGTAACTGTTATTGGGTGAATGTGAGTGAGCCAGAATAGTTACCAAGGTTCTGCCTAGGAGAAGGGGAGTCTGGACAGTTGCAGAGACTGTTTCTCTGCCATAAGGCAGCAAGACTTATATCACAACACAAGTGGAACCTGCCTTTAAGATGTCCAGAGAAATCAATAGCTCATAAACCTGGTCCTGTGCACTGCAGATTATTATTAAGAATTTTTTTCATCAAATCAAATTTCTTCTCTTGGAATCAAAAGAAGAGATTTGTATAAAGAGAAAACATCTCTTTTTATTCATTGGTAGTGTCATTCATCAGCCTTCTTCCTTAGACAAGATGAAACTGTCCATCATTTTTAACTTTTCCACGGTGGTCATATTTCCCATCCTTTTCTTCCAAGGAAGATACAAACGTGCTCTTGACACACACACCCTTTGGCTAGGACATCTACTTATGGTAATTATTCCATTCTAAATTAATCAATGAGAATGGAAGTTGTGGCAGAAAATCTTACGTGATTACATCCATTTTCAGTGAGTGTAGTCTGAGTGCAATCCTTCCTGCATTTTTCCAGATTGCTTACTTTATTGTATTTTCAGTGGTTGGAATTAATGGATAGCTTTTGAATTTCCAGTATTGTTTCTTTTTTTAAAAAAATGAAGTTCTTCTAGCCTTCATCAATATTTGTTCCTACCATGAGGTTACCAAAGTAACCATTAGTGACTTTGCTTTGTAGCACCTGTTCATTTCTTAGCTCCTCCAAGAAGCTTGGCTCAGGCTCAGTTGGTTGGAATACATCAAGCTTTTTAAGTTCATCTTCCATCAAGCTCCTTTTATCCAGTTTCATCTTTATACCTTGGCTGTTCTCCCTAACTCCCTTAGGAATATCAGCCCTTTCCATTTTCATGGGAATAGCTAATATGAATTTGTTCCAGGTCACAATTTGGGTTCGCAGCAAAAATGCTTTCAGAACAGACAGCAGCCCTGGGGACAGGATGGGAGTCGATGAATGTCCAGTTGGATGGAGCAGAGCCCCAGCTGGAAAGGGGAAGCCAAGAAGAGGGGCCGTGGAGAACAGCACCAGGGCCACTGGAACACCTGTGCTGTGACCTTGAAGAAGAGCCACACTCACTTCAGGAAAAGGGTGAGAGCCTGGAGGGCGTGTGTGTGGGAAGCACAGTGCAGAGAGTAGTCTCCTAATCTCTGTTCAAAAAGTAGAGTCTAAAATCCCCAAATTGCTATAGACTGAACAGCATAATCAATAACAAAACTGGTCCATTATTCCTTGACCCTGGCCATAGGAATATAAGGAGGTCCTGGATTCTGCAAGCCATGTAACTGGGCTACTCCCATTTCTTGTATAATCACTACTTCTACATGATGCAAGTGCATCTTAGTTGTATTGAATATGGGAGGCCAAGGAATTGACAACAGAAATGATTACTGGTGGAGAACACACCCAGTAAGATGCTCTTTACATGATGGCAATTACATTCACATAATATAAATTCAAACCACAGCTAGTCTAGAAGACGCTTTGGTTCGCAGGCTGGCTCTCAATCCGTTGAGCCACACCAGCCAGGGCTAGTCTAGTAGAGATGGATGAAAACCTCTGCTAAAAACTGCTCAATGCCCTCACAGAACATTTTGAGTGAAGGTCTCTTTTACTATATTTCTGCGTTTGAGTTTTACCAATGGGCCTATATGGATAGGAAAAACTGTGACTCTTAAGCCCCGCTAAAATGGGGCCCAGGCTCTTATGGGTGGTACACCTCTAATGGTTCCTTCCTCCCCTCACCAGCTCAGTCGGCTCCCTGGGCTCCTGCCATTCCCCAGGAGGGGAGCACCGGAGACTGGGAGATGGCAGCTGCACTTCTTGCAGCCGGATCACAGGTGGGCTGTGTGCTTCCCTTCGCCTCTCCCAGGGTCTCATCACTGCTGCCTTTCTTAGCCTTAGCATCATCCCACTGATTTATTATTTCACATGGTCACTGATAGTGTCTTCATCCTATAACTGAACAGATTCTATCCCTTTCCAAGGAGGGCCTCATAATATTAAAAAAATGAATGGAGGCATAACAAGAAGAGGGGAATTCCTAGAAGTTAGGGGGATTTTTTTGTTTTGTTTTAAATAGATGCCTGTGCTATCCACAGGAGGATTTTGAGAACAATTCATTAATATCCTTTCAAAAATAAATCTCTAAAGATTAGGAAAAGAGAGCTTGAAGGAAGCTTGGAAGAGCATAAAGTAGACAGGATTGGGTAGATAGTGGGACATTTATGGAAAAGGGTAGGAAGAGATTAAGGCACTTGTGTAAGGCCATAATGCTAATAAATAGCAGAGCTAGGAATCATGTGGCTCCAGAATCTAGACTCCTCAACACCATACTGTGCTGCCTCAGAAGATAAGGACATAGTATGATGGCAAGGGTGGGGGAGAATGTTTTATCTATATCTTTTGTGCTGATAGAAGAGGAATGGTCACGTGGAGGGAGGAGAAGATAGCACATAACTTCTTCAATGGAAATAATAAGGCCAGTGAGGAGAGACTGGGCAGACACCTGTCATTAAACAGTGAGAGAAATTAGTTTCTGGTGTTCCTGACTTCTTCTGGTCCCACTTCTAGAAACTCTTCTAGAAACACTGTCCTCACTCAGTCACTGACCATTACCTTTACCCCTCTCCTCATTTTCCCTTCACCAAAACGGTGTGCCCTACCCAGGAATGCCTGGGCAATTCTTTTTCTAGATCTTCTCTTGCCCTCTCTCTTCTACTTCCCCAGTCTTTTATATTTGGATCACATTTTCCTTAAGGGACAGCTGGTGACAGATGATGGTATATTTTGTTTCAGGGCTTGGTAACCATCAAGGATGTGTCACTGTGCTTCTCTCAGGAGGAGTGGCGGAGCCTGGACCCTTCTCAGACAGACTTTTATGGAGAATATGTCATGCAGGAAAACTGTGGGATAGTGGTCTCTCTAAGTAAGAATGACTTTCACAAGCCACTGAAAGATTGTACTCTGGGAGGATGGAGCTGTGTGCTCTAGGGCTGTTGGATAGTGTCTGTCTAGCGTTCTTTGCTTGTCAGGGAATTTATTTATCCTTCCACCAGAGAAAGAGCACTAGGGCTAATCCAAAGAGAATGGAAGTAAGGTATCATTTTTTAAAGACAACAGCAAAATAATGCTAAATTATGAGGAAAAGAATTTTAGGCTCTTCTTGTTGGGAATTGGCAGGTTCTTTCTTACAAAGCAGAGAGAAGGACATCTGAAAGGTGGAACTGAGTCCTTGGAAACTCAGAAACCATCTAGGGAAAGATGGGAGTGCTGGAGTGGGGGTGGGGGCCAGGGGGAAGGGAGGGACCAGCTGCATTGGAGCTACTTAAATGAAGTTATGACCAGAAAGGACAGTTGGACTGGAAGTATTTGAAATATAAGTGGGAGAGAACATACACATTGGGGAAGAGGGAATGATTTTCTAGAGAAAAGAAGAGGGACTTAAGAAATGGGAGGAGATGAGGGAAAGGCTTGTATCTGGCCGCCTTTTATCTAGAGTTGTAAGGAATAATATAGGCAACAGCTTTTGTTCAGAAATATAGAATTACTGTTGTACTAACTGACATGCCTGTTTCCCTTTCCCATGACAGGATTTCCGATTCCCAAGCTGGACATGCTTTCTCAACTAGAGGGAGGGGAAGAACAATGGGTCCCTGACCCACAGGACTTAGAGGAGAGGGACATCCTCAGGGTCACATATACAGGTAAGATCCTAGAGTGGACTTTCAGCCACGGCCTTCACCCCTCTTGGAATGTCGTCATTATGTGTCCCTCTAGTCCCTCCTCTGCCTCAGAGAGTTGCAGAGCTAAAAGGTTTAGAGATCTTTTCCTTCAAAGAGCAAGCCAGTAGAGCAGAATGGTATAGAGGGGAGGCTCTAGAGCCAAACTTTGTGGATTTGAAATCAGGACCATACGTTTGGGACCTTGGAAAAGTAAGTAACCTCTCTTTGAGTTCCCCATCTGTAAATTATTGTGAGATTTAAATACCGTAACATAGCGGGATAGTACCAGATATGTGACAAGCATGCAATAAACCTTAGCTGCTGTTGTTGTTACTGTTGATGTTGTTGTTGTTCAACGCCCACCTATTGCAGAAATGCCTTCCACAGTGTCTCTAGTATTGCTGACAGGGGCCAGCCAGCACATTCCTTAACTCTCTCCATTTATGCTTAGACAGGAAGATGGTAATTAATGGTAAAAACAGAGTGGTAAATAAATGATGGTAATAAATCACAATAGCATAGACCGTTTACTAAGTGCTTACCAAATGCAGGTACTATGCTATCTATCTTATACTCACTTCCATTTTTCAGGAGAAATGAAGGCTAACAGAAACTAAGTAGGACCGCTGAGATTTAAAATTAGGCAGTCTGTCTCCTAAGCCTAGGCTTTTAACTTCTACACCCCTTGCCTTGTCTTGTACAACGTTAAAATCTCTTCTCTCAGCCCTTGCTGGGTAAGGTTTAGGCCCTAACAGACATCGTACAACCTCACCTGTGGCTTGGGTTCTGAGGTACTCTCTGGTGACTCCCCTCTTGGGGTCGGTATTTCCCCTTCTCCACAGGAGATGGAAGTGAGCATGAGGGGGATACCCCTGAACTAGAAGCAGAACCTCCCAGAATGTTATCTAGTGTGTCCGAAGATACTGTTCTCTGGAACCCGGAGCAGGAGGAGAGCTGGGATTCCGTGCCCAGAAACTCCAGAGGAATGCTCCTGGGCCCACCTTTTCTTCAGGAAGATAGCTTCTCAAGTCTTCTGTGTAGCACAGAGATGGATTCCCTGTTAAGACCACACACATGCCCCCAGTGTGGGAAACAGTTTGTGTGGGGCTCCCATCTTGCCAGACACCAGCAAACTCACACTGGGGAGAGGCCCTACAGCTGCCTCAAGTGTGAGAAGAGCTTTGGACGAAGACATCACCTAATCCGGCATCAGAAAACCCACCTACATGACAAGCCCAGCAGGTGCCCTGAATGTGGCAAGAATTTCCGATGCAATTCCCATCTGGCCAGCCACCAGAGAGTGCATGCAGAAGGCAAATCCTGCAAAGGCCAAGAGGTTGGAGAGAGCCCTGGGGCTAGGAAACGGCAGCGTGCCCCACCGGTTCCAAAGTGCCACGTGTGCACTGAGTGTGGGAAGAGCTTTGGCCGACGGCACCACCTGGTGAGACACTGGCTGACCCATACTGGGGAGAAGCCCTTCCAGTGCCCTCGCTGTGAGAAGAGCTTTGGCCGTAAACATCACCTGGACAGGCACCTGCTCACCCACCAGGGACAAAGTCCCCGGAGCAGCTGGGACAGAGGGACATCCATCTTTTGAAATCTGTTTTCTGCTGTAGCTGTGCTCACATCTATCAGCTGGTGCTACCAGGAGTCTCTGCCAGAGCTGCCCCTCTCCTGTCCCCAGTGCCAGGATCATGAGCCTTGGCCTTATCCCTAAAGATGAGGTTCCAGCATTGGCGAGAGCATTCCTCACCAGTTCTATGAGATACCACATAAAATAGAATTCTTTGGGCAAAACTTTTGGGAAACAGTGCTTAGTACATGGGCTGAAATTCAGCCTGAGCCCATTCTCAAGGGTAGTGGTACCAGTGGTTTATGGCTGAGATCCATTCTGATTGGTTGGAGCCTGTGCCATACCAGTTGTTAAATATTTTGAGTATCACCATTGTATATCATAACTGTTATATTCTCTTTATATATATGTCTATATATATGGGGAGAGAGAGAGAGAGACCATGTTGGCATATTAAAGGCTCTGAAAATTTATGCAGTAGAGCAAATTGTTAAGTCTCTTACTGCAGTGTTTCCTAACTGTATTTGACCTCATTGTTCTTTCTATCTGACATCCCACAGAACTGGTGACTCCAACGAACACTCTAGTGAACACTAGGTTAGAGTAATGAGGAAAAAAGAAAAAGCCCTCATTTTTTATCCAAATGAAAGCGGAGGGGTAGATCGCATTCCTGTGCGGGTCCATCACCTTTACCCCATCATCCAAATAGACATCCACACCTCTCACCTCACCTGCCCAAAAATAGGAACAATAACCTTTTCACCCCTTATTTCTACTCCCTTTATCCTGCACATACATATATCCAGCTAAGAGATCATACTACCATGCTACGGGATGGACCTTATATACCCCCAAGTAATCCAGACTCACACAGAAGAAAAAACTTTTCCGCTTGGACAGTCCCCTCTTCTCTTGATTGTGTCTTTATGTGTCTGTGTGTATCTGTGTACAGGGTTTTTGAAGAGAGCATGCAAAGTGCAAACTGTAAAAACTAAATTTTCTAGGGGCTGTGTTCTGGTGATGAGGGTAGTGGGGATTGTATGGGGTTTTATTTTGTTTCAAGAGAGGAAGTAAGCTGAGCAATTAAGGGAGCCTAGTGGAAAGGGTTAAGTGATGGGTCATATTGTGGGAATTGAAGTATAAAGCCTTCTTGAATGTCACTGAGATCAAGACAGCTGCACATACATGTTTAGGTCTCAATCTTTGGTCCATAGATTCTATTTCCCTGGGTAGAGAGAGCATGAAGCATCATCTGTGAGGTGAGCTGTTCTTTTTGCATTCAAGCAAAATGCATATAGAGCTCTGTGCTGAGTGATTTTTTTTGTTTTTGTATCTGGTCTTGTTGTAAGTGTTGGGAAATTAGGGCAGGAATCACAGTGTTTACAGGTTGTTGTCATTATTCTTGTTTGACTTTGATTGCCTCATCAAGGGGACAGTTATTCTTGAGGATCTCTTCTTCTCTGAAACAGAACTTCAGGGGAAATGGCTGTGGTTTAGCTTTTCAGCTGATGCAAGGTAATGAGCTTTCCATTTGATTTTCCTCACAAATCTGGAAAGGTGTGTACACTAAGAGTCTTAACTCCAGGACTTGCATAAGTATTCTAGCATCTGTTAGTTGGTGAGTTGGTCATTGTTTCTCTTTATTGATCATGTGTTAATACCGATCTTATAATTTAAAAATTATCTTGTATGCAAGAACAGTTTAGGGTTAGGGAGGGAGAGGAGTAAAGAGGGTAAAAGTGGGTATTTTCTCTTTAATGCTTAGATTCTGGTTTTTCCTTAACACACTAATTTTTTAACTGCAGTTGGTGGAATTAACCAGAGAGGAAAGAAGGAAGTGAGGTGCAACCATCTTGTTTAATAGGCATTTGCTTAGGAAAATGGGGTGAATCATGGCTCCTCAGAGTCCTGGACCCAAAAGGAGCTGGAAATAGGGCCACTTTGCTGAATGGATGTCTTAGAGTGGATATGACTTGATCAACCCAGTCCCTGCCTTCCTTCTGCACTCAGAGCAGTCGTTCCTTTGCCTGGAATGCACTTCTCTTGTTTATGTTCCTACGAATAGAGCAAAACGACCAGCCCTTTGTAAGGCAGTCCCAGGTCCTCAGAGACAGGAGTATTTTAGGATCAGTGTTAGGAAATGCCCCAAAGAATAGGAAAGTACTGCATTCCAGTGGTAAAACTGGACTATGCCATTTCTCTTACCTTCCCACTATGCCTCATTCATTCATGCAAATCAGCTATATTAAGCAATGGTTCAAAACCTGTTTTGGATCACTGAGATCAAGACAGCTGCACATGTATGTTTAGACTCTGATAAAAACCAGGAACTCATTTAAAAAACAAACAAACATTAACTATTCACTCAGTTTTTCATACTGAGTCAAAGAAAGGGAGTCAAAGAAAGGGAGCTACCCTGACCCAATATGGTCATTATATATATGTGTGAAGAATTACAAGGCAAGGGTCAGTTAATAGTTTAATGAATAAGATACCAGAGGCAGTAGGGTATAAAGATAGAGTCTGGTCTTTAATGACTAGAGGGTATTGCTTACAGTCTAGTTTATATATTTTTTCAAAAGCTATGCTGACAAACCCAGCTCCTCACAAACTTTGTTTTAAAGACTTGTAGGAGACTACTCTCCGTACTATCAGATCACACCTCTTAATAATCAGAGATTACCCTCCAGCCTTTGATCTGTTTTAGTAATTGTAAGGATAGAAAGTGAAGCCCCTGAAGTGAAGATGCAGTCATAGTGCACAACTGAAAGGCATCATGGCGTCTAATGGCCTTCTCCAGAAGGGGCATCCTTCTAGGTCATTTCTGGTGTACCATTGTCTTCTCTACCTCGGTCCAACACCATTTCCCTTGGATAAAAAAATAAAATAAACAACAGCCATTGGATGGGTGAATAGATTTGAATGATTCTTCCCACAGGAATCAGCCTCAAACTCCCATCTTTCTCCCAACTCCCTCTGCCACATGTCCATCCTACCTACATTAAATAAAAAATGTCTGTGTTCTCTCTGGGCAAAATGTAAAATAGAGAAGTCCCATAAGGAATCTGTTGCCTTTTCCCCTCCGTGCTGCCTCTGCTCTATTCAAGGCCCAAGTATGTTCCCTTTTTCATCCCATCAGAGGATCTCTGTAAAGAATCCCTTACACAGGAGAATGTGACTCAAAGTGTTAGCTTTACCCAGATCTATTTACATTTTAAGTGTTAGTTCTGATAGTCAAAGTGGGAGGAAAAGCTTTTCCCCTGTTAAAATGATGTTACGCCTTTAGAGAACTGAAAGGGTGATAAATTGGGACAAAGTCCTTCCCTTTCCAGCAATCCTGCAATTAAGTCACTGTTTCCTATTTCTATCAAGGGCAAGGTGAGCCTTGCCTCAGAACCACAGGTGCTAGAAGATAGGTTCTTTCCATCTCTGCATGGGGGTAAATGGGGCTGGGCAATAACAGAAAAGTGAAACCTATTCCCTTAGACCCCTTTGAGAACCCAAGCTGGCAAAATTTATTTCCCACGGAGCGCTCTACGGGGCCGAGCTCTCAAAATGTGTGGTCTTTGGACTAACAGCATCAACATCGCCTGGGAACTTGTTTCAGAAATGCAAATGCTCAGGCTCTACACAGACAAATTGAATCAGAAACTGTGAGGGTGAAGCCTAGCAATCAGTCTTTTAACCTGCCTTCCTGGAACTCTGAGATATGCAAATACTTGAGAACCACTGGCCTAGAGATTGAAATTCCATTTCAGTCAGTGGAACCTCACCCTCTTTAAACGGGGAGAAAGGAAATCTTTACACCTGTGATCAGGTTGATTTTCTGCAACCTTGCTAGGCTAGTAGCTTTTCGGTTCTGTTCCTCCTGAGTCCCAGGGTCTCCCCCTACTCTTCACTCAGTGAAAGGACTGGCTCAAGCACCAATTTCAGAAAACGGTGAGGCAACTACCAAGCTGCTGTGATTGGAGCTGGAGCTTCTAAAATGGGCACTGAGGATTTGTGGGTCCAGAAATCTGAAAGGACAAAAAGGAGCAGACACATCAAAGAAGGGAAATCCAGTGTAAAACTGAAAAACTGACATCCAAGGAAATGGTCCTCCTTTGCTAGTTATGTGGTCATTTTCCAGATCTAATAGTTGCCCTGGAGGTGGGCAGGGTGGGCATTTAGCACAGAGGTAGGGAGTAAGTCCGACTGTTAGAAGCCCTTAAGAACCCAAGTTTTCCAACTTCACAATGCATTGCAGAACAATAAGGTGCTGTGCAAGGAATTTCTAACCATGGTTTGGCCTACTCATGATTTGGCAGCAGGAGCACCAGGGAGTCCCCAGAACACAAGAGGGAACCAGGCTCGTTTAGTAAGATGTGATGACTCAAGTGAGATTTGAACTCAGACTCTTCACTAGGTAGAGGTTGTAACCAATTAAGGCAGCTATGTTAAAAAAAAAAAAAATGCATTCTCCAACTTTAAAGATTCTCTCCAATTCAGGCTGAGGACAAATTGAAATGAAATTTGTAAACCTGCCACCTCTGAAGAGATCTTCAAGGCCAAAACATTGGAGTGAACTCTTCAGGGGAGGTGGTCAGGACTCTCCCGTAAGGCAGAAGAGCTTGGCTACTGCTTTCTTCAGCTCCAGACCTCAGGCTCTCTCCTGCTTTCCCTTCCTGTTTCCACCTCCATTTTTCCAGTAAGAGGAGCTTTTCTTTCACTCTGAGCTCCCACTTCTCTTTTTCAGTTTGATTAGCTTGGTTTGGTATTTTGTTTTGTTTGGGAAATGCCACACCTTCCGGAGGGTGTTTGTTCTTCCCAGTCCCTGTCCTCCTCCTCTCATAGTTATTCTCTCATCTAGTTTCTTTTTGGTCAGCCTTAAGCCTACAAAGCAGGGTCTGTTCCTTATACTTCCCACTTCTTTTCTCAAATTCTTGGCTTGGCTAGAGCAGCTCAGCTGCCATCTCACCATTCTACACCTCTCTCGTATCTGGACTTGGTCACGGCTGCTGGTATTGTCATATTCAGGCCCTTTACTTTATTACCTACATGCTCCTCTTCCTTTGATACAGCTTCCAAAGTGTCTTTCTGTTTTTCACTATTTTGATTTACTCATTCCCTTCTTGCCTCTTGGGGCTCCTGAGAACTAGTCCCAATTCTACAAGCCATTTTTTGGGCGCTTACTATGTGCCCGGCACTGGCTGTTCCAAGCCTGGGATATTGTGACCATGGTTCCCATACTCAGCATGTTCCTCAGGCGAGCTCTACACTACTTTCCTGCCATGCCTCCTGACTCTGTGCGCCCAGGTGCTCTTTTCCAGGAAGTTTGGGGGGTGGGGGTGCATAATATGCCCTCTTGCCATCTAGTCCAACTATTCTGTGCCTGTCAGGTTTCTAGCAATTGCCTAACTTATTTCCCTCTGATGGACTTGAACTTCCCACAGGTTACCCTTTGAGGGACCTTCGTCTGTATCCTTAGGGATCTATAATACGCTCCTTATGGTCCCTATCTGTTGAATAAAGGATGTATTGGCTGTGTCACTGATTTCTTCTCTTGGTCCTTTACTCTGCCCTCCATTCTCAGCTCTTCAGTCCTGGTAAAAAGGCTGCAAAAGAGTGGGGACACGAGAGAGCTCTAGGGGAAGTCCTGTGGCCATGTGCAAGCCCCCTCACTGCCCCTCCTGAAACATTAACCCTTAGACACTTGGACTGCTGAGTCTGGAGCCTGAGGCGGTGGTGATGACTGCGAATTGACCTCCTAAGCAAATTCACAATAATTGGTGATTCAGGGAGAGCTGGAGGAGGTGCACACAGATGGGGTTAGGCAGGAACAGGGTCCAACAGTCGCATTCACTTTGGAGGATGAAAGATTGGGCATCTGGCAGGTTATCAAGAATATAGAGTAAGAAGTAGTGTGCATGGGAGAAACATGGAAAGCTGGCATGGAGAAACCACCAGCCTCTGACCCACTGACATGGCCTTCCAGCCCTGGAGCTTCACTGGGACAGGGAGAGGGAACGGCTTTGCAGGCCTTGAGCAGCCCAAAGGCTTTGCTCTTCCTCCGTGGGAGTTGCCTTGAAGAGCTTCACGCCTACTGCCCAGGGGTTGCTTAGCCTCTGCAGCCTTCCCAGCAGCCGCCAGACTGTTTTGTCTCCTGCCTCTGTGCTGCTTATGTTTTCCTACTTTCTTGCAGTTCACTCTCACTCACCCCTACTCACCCGGAGTAAAATTTGACAAGTCTGGTCTTTCCCCTAACTAAATGGGGGAGGAGGGAAGGAATTGATAAAAGGGGGAGGAGAGACACAGCTGTGATTTTTCATGGAGGTGCCTGTTCTCTCAGGCAGCTCCAGTGGACAGTGGGAAAGCCCGACTTCCTTCTTACCAGTGCGTTTCCCAGGCTCATCCAAGGCTTCATGCTGACCCCCCATCCCCACCCCCCACCACCTCAGTCTTCAGTTTCTCTCTTCCAACTCCTTTCCTGACATGGTGCCCCCATATTAACTTCCCAAACAATGTCTTCCTGTCTTTGCTAGGCACTTAGGTTTTGGCTGGAGTGACCTCCAGCCCAGCCAGACAGCCTTGCCATGTTAGAGTTCCCCAGAGGAGGAGAAAGAACAGGAGAGCTCTATTGTTTTGAGAATACTGACAAATGGAAATAAATGTTCACATGTTTGAAAACAACCCCCTCCCTTGTATTTGAGAACATACTCCTCTACAAGAAACCACTGCTAAATCATTAAAACATTCAGTGTAGAAATAAATTCTAAACTTCTGACCTTCACCTACGTAATAAAGATGTCTTGTGGAGTTAGAGTAGATGTTGAGGCCCCATTCAACATCTATAACTAGTGAAGAGAGCACTGGATTTACAGTTAAGTCAATTTCTAAATTGTACATTTTCTAAACATTAGCTTTTTTCACTTAAGATCTAAGAGGCTGGGGCAAAGGTGAAATGAAATAATGCATGTGAAAGTACAAACCACCTTATAAATGAAAAAGCTATAATTGAAAATTATGTGGAAATTTCTACCTTATTTTTGAGCAAGACACAATTTATAGGATTCTGAAAACAAATACAAAAAAGGTATAGTAAAGAGTTTCATTCTTATGTCTTCTCTACAGTTCCCATCATCTTCCCCTCACAATAGAGAACCAGTTTTTTGTGCATCTTTCCAGAGTTTCTTTATACAAAAGAGATACATTTTCCTTTATTGGTATATGTGTCTTGATTTTTTTTTTCACTCAATGTATCTTGTGGAGCTTGTCATAACAATACATTGAGAATCTCCCTCTTTTTATAGCTTCATGGTATTTCACCAGATGGAAGCTTCACACTTTAACCAATCTCATGATATTTAGATTATTTCCTTTTTCTTTTTGTTAATGCATTACTGTGCTAAATACATTGAACATGAGTCTTTTCACAAATGCATTAATATCTAAAAGATAAATTCCTAAGTGTGGTTCTGCAGGGTCAAAGGATATCTACATTGGCAATTTGGAAAGCCGAATTCCTTCTGTTGGGGTGGCAGATTTACACTCCCACTTAACATTGTAGGAGAGAGCCTGACTTCCCCACAGCCTCACCAATTTAGTAAGTTTTCAAACATTTTGGATTGATTAATATGCATTTCTCATGAGTATATTTCTACCTTTATCATACTTTTAAAGGCCATTTGTATTTCTCTTGATTTTTTCAACAACCATTGAATATTTGATGCTAGAGAGCATCTAGGGTTCATTGCGACATTAAAGTCCAATGATTTTCTGATCATCATTGTACTAGGCAGTTGAGATAAAAGAGAAGCAATGAACGGAGGTCATGGATGTTCCATTTGCTCTCACTACAGTTAAATAGCTAAATTTGCCACTAGAATGTGAGCAGTGAAAAGTGGGAATTATGTTTTACCCATCTTTATTCCCAGCAAAGTGCCCATTATTTTGTAGGCACTTAGTCATAGTGAACACTAGTGATGAGATTAGCTATTCTTGGGAATTCCTTTCACTGAAGTACCCAGCTAGGATTAGGATCTAGATAATCTGGATAGCCTGCCAATGAGTTAAGGTTATTTCTTCTATTTTATCAAAGTACAACCACCCTAAAGCTTATTAATGAAAAATAATCTGAAGTGACTGTTGTTAGCTATGTAAGGTCAGGGTCTGAGACTTAATTCGGTAAGCTTACTAATGAATGAAGTTTGCTTAAATGAAGAAATCATAATACAAACATCCTATCTTAGAGGAAAAGCTTTCTAATTCTAAAAGCTTTCTAGACCATTTGGTCTTTAGGTAAAAGCATCCAGCACCGTAAAGGGGCAATACATGTGGCTATAATAAGAGCATTTGATTAAGTTTGTTCTAACTGTGTTTCTCACCGCCTCTTTTCAGAAGGCTCCCTATTCTTTTTAATTTTTATGTTTCAATTACAGTTGACATTCAATATTACTTTATAATAGTTTCAGGTATATAGCGTAGTTGTTAGACATTTATATAATTTATGAAGCAATCCCCCTCCTAAATCCAGTACCAGCCTGGCACCATACATAGCTGTTACAATATTATTGACTAGATTCCCTATGCTGTATTCCACATCCCTGTGACTATTTTGTAACAACCAACTTGTACTTTTTAATTCCTTCAGATGATTCCCTATTCTGATTCTGCTTGCTTTATCCTGCCACTCACAGGCAATTTAAGAACATGATAAACCTAATTACAGCAGGAGAAAATTTCAAAGTTCAGCTAATCTACGGATGAGATACACTGCAAGCATTTTGTTATTACTCAGCTTTGCAAAGGCTTAAAGCAATGATTCTTATTTATGGGTACAAGAGGGTGAATATCAGCATCACGTAAGCTTTTTTTGTTGTCTTAAATACACATGCTCAGTTCCTCCTTATAGGAGATTTAACTTGCCTGGGAAAAGCTTGGTCAGGCGTCCTCTGCAAAAGCTCCCAACGCTGTTCTAACACTTTCCCTCCCAGCCCTGGCTTGGTGGCTCAGTTAGCTGGAGCATTGTCCTGTACACCAAAAGTTGCAGGATCCATCCCCAGGAATCATTCTTAACTCCTGCATTCAGAACTAAAAGGAATCATACATTTGCTTCATGCTTGATATATAGTGCTCAATACATATTTATTAAGCAAAAGAACTAGCTATTCATTATGTGACCTCCCCCATCTCCTTATATTTCTGATATGCATTCTGTAAATCTTAGTAGTTTACTCTCTAGGAGTTGGTACTTTCCCAGTTGATAATTCCCTTATTGAGTTTTGTCAATCAAAGTATATGTAATATTTAAATCCTCCTTATTTTACTGACGCTTAAAATAAAAAATCATCCTAGTCCAATCCCAGCTTTTTACAGAGAAGGAAACCAAGACCATGAATAGTTAAGTGCTAATTCAGCTAAGTTCAGAGTGGCAGAACTTTGATTAGAATCCTGATCTCATTAAGTACTGATCCGGTAGTTTCCCGCTATAGCACATCATCACTCCATCAAGAGTTATTTATATTCATACAACTTGCAGTGATGAGCGCCTACCCTGGGCCAATCCCTGTGCTAGATGCTTCTTCACACATTCTCATTTAACTGAAGATTAACATATAAAACATTTTTAAAATTCTCAACTCACGGTAAAAACTAGAAAGCCATTACAATCAATTCTGGGAGAAGGAACGTTTTCCCTGAAAGGAATTTAGGTAAGAATACTTTGGGTCCCTGGGACCACTCAACTTAAAGGCAGTCTATTCTTCTCTTGCCCAAATGATGCCCCTACTTCTCACCTCACATGCCCTCTCCCCTAAACTGAATTTGGATTTGCTAGGCTGTTTAACATTGATTTAACACTTCTGCCTAATCCCTTGAAATTGCTGGTTTTCTTCTACCTTTTTTTTTTTTTTTTTTTTTTTTTTTTTATGAAAGGCATTTTCCTGGGTCCGGTAGCAAGAACAGAATCTCAACTCCTTTTTCTCTTTTCTCCCCACATGCCCCTCCCTACTACAGGGCCTCACCTTAACAACCCCTCCTTCGCCACCGCCCCCAAGCGGGCAAAGAGGAAACAGACGCAATTGTGGTGATTTGAAAGGTCTTGTGAATAGTTTCTCCATTACAATGAGAGTGAAAGCTGCTCTAATTGGAGCCTTATGGGGAAAGGCATCTGTGCCTGGAGGAAGGGAAGTTGCTCCCACACTAAGGATTCCCAGCTGCATTCCGAGGGCTTTCAAATTTAGTGGAAGCCTTTGGGCGAGCAGCCCTGGAGTCAGTTTTAAGTGAGGGTGACCTCTGGATGGTCCGTTCTACCGGCTTCTCGGGGTCCTGTTTCTTCTTTTCCCTTGGCTTCTTCTTCTCTAGTGTCCTAGGCCTGCCTTCCTTCACGGTCCGTCTACTCCTTCCGGCCGTCACCTTGGTCCGGGTTTCCTTCTTGGCTCTGGAACGCACCGGGTTCTTGCCTCTTGGTCTTGACTTCCTCGCCGCGATCTCTGCCCTCGCATTCCGTCTCCATATTTCCCTGGCCTTCTTGGCCGCCTGGCGACGCACGCGGCGCTTCCGTGGAACCCGCGGCCCCGCGGGGGTCCTCCTCGGGGACCAAACGCCCTCCCCCAACCTCGGGCGTCCCGGCTTTCTCTTTGGCTTCGGAATCTTCCAGACCCTGAAGTAGCCGGAGCCGTTGTTGCTGCTGATCCTCATGAGTGTGCCCTTAAAATCAGACTTGGGCGCTTCGCCGGAGCGGCGGCAGCACTTCCTGCGCATTTGGTAGCCAGCATGTCCCATCTCCTTCTTGAGAGTGGCCAGAGTCAGCCCGTTGTGCGAGGTGATGGAGGTGATGGCTCTGAGCAACACCTCGGACACTCTAAGTACGAAGCGCGTGTCCCGCTTCGGCGGCGCCCCGAGGATTTTTTCCGTGGGCTGCTGGGTTTTAACTAAAGTGCCTTGGGATTCGCCACTGGGCTCGGCCACCTCAGCCACGGCCCTGGGCACCTCAGTCATGGTCCCGCTTCGCCTCCGCGGCGCTACTGACTTTGGGACTCACCTACCAAGGACTGAGCTAAGGCGGAGGCTGGCTGGGCCACGTCACAAAGGCAGGGCCACGTCACAAAGGCAGACCCGGCAGAAGTTCAGGTCTTAGTGAGAGGGCTAGTAGATCCCTTCTCAGTAGGGATTTTTCTTTTTTAAACGTTTGAAACTTACCACTTCCTTTCAGGCCTAAACCAATCCAGATCTTCGAGGCTGTTGAAGAATCTCCTTTATAAGCTTCTAGGTTTTGTTCCCTGCTCTTATGCTCACACTTCTCACTGACCTTGATCTTGACCACTTTTTGAAGTTCTCTAGTTTTCTGTGAAAAATAGTGCACACCATCTACCCACATTTCCCTAAGGGGAGAGATGCTGCTCTCAACTATCCCAAACAAGTCACAGGATGCCTTTGAAAAGTAAATGTGGTAGTCTGTAAAACACAACCCAGCCCAGAAACGCCTGCTTTTAGCTACCAGCAGTTAGGTATCCACAGTCCTGTCTCTCTCACTCTCCCCAAAGGAAGAAACCCCTCTGGTTCCTCTACCCTAAACAGTAACTCCCACACCTAGGAAGTTCAGATGTTTCATTCCGTTGGACTGGAACAATCAGATTCCAAATAGCTTAAGAACACTGGTCTAATCAGTATTCCTTGAATAGACTTTGTGCTCTTTTCCCTTCAATCCCTCTTGGATTGCCTATCCCCTTTCTCCGCCCAAATAAATTCTATTCACTGTTCAAAGGCCTGCTAAACCCTTTCTTCATTGAAGCCTCACCAGACTCTCAGTCAAATAATTTCTCTCCTCTTAACCACCACAATCACTGTTGCAAACCTATACTGTTTTTTCTTTATTTTAAATTAATTTGGTATTAAAAGGTGCGATGTGCCACAATATTTTTAAAAAGAAGAAAAAAACCTGGACGTGGAGATGGAAAACATGGATACATATCCTAGCTCTTTAAGAGCCATATGACATTGGTAAATCTCTTAATATCTTTGGATCTGACTTAAACAAACAAACAAGCAAACAAAAAAACAAGCCAGTAGTCCCTTCCTACCAACATCACAGAATTATTGCAAAGGTTCGGAGGGTGATGGTAGGTGACAAAAGGCAACCCAAATATAAGATATAAAATTGTTTTACTCCATTTAATGTCTTTCCAACTAAATGGAAAGGTTCCTAAGATCCAGAGAGTCTCTGAATTTCTATGTCCCATCCTGTACCTAACACTATCTTTCATTATACATAGAAGGCATTTGACTGAGTCTGCTTAACCTCTTCCCTGGTGAGGAGGCTTTCTCTGGATTCAGTAGGAGACTCCCAGAATATCAGGAGAAAGGAGCAGGATGAATTTCAAAGGGCTGGAAATGAAGAGACCAAAAAAGCTAGTTGCTCAAGGACCTCTTCTTTTGGATACAGTTTAATTGGGAATAACTCAAAGAATTATTCAAAGAATACCTCACATTACAAAGTGTGTCATACTTTTCCAGAGGATATTCACATATACTCAGCAGCCAACTGTGACATCGTTTCTTCCAGGAATCAAAGTTCTAGGAAGTAGCTTAGATCTGCATTTTTTAAACATAAAAGTGCACTTCATAAAGTACAAATTCTAATAATTATGGCTGGGATGGGGCCAGAATTTATACTTCTAACAAACTCCCAGGTAATTTTATCTGGTTAAAATGTGTGTTGGGTGGTAGGGGGGAGGGGAGACAATGAGAAGGGAAGGGACAGTAGATGAGACCGGAAAGGTAGCCCAGGGCCAGGTGTGAAGGACACATAAACATAATAATGACGTAATTGTGAGCTGGTTACACAGCAGTAATTGGTAAAGTTTAGATTCAAACCTAAGTCTATTTAATTCTAAAGCCTGAGTTCTTAATTACAGTACTGTGTGCTTGGTTTCCCTTTCTTCAAGTTTGACCCTCCCCATCTTACATATCTCTATTATAAAGCAGTGGGAAGTTTATTTCCATAATCACAGCTCAAAATCAAGAGTATCTACAAGCACTCATTGTACTTTCTCTCAGTTTTTTAAATGAAATATATCATCTTTATTATATTTTTCCATTACCATTTAGTCCCCATATACTCCTCTCCCCCGAGCAGTCACCACACTGTTGTCCATGTTCATGAGCCCTTTTTCCTTTTTGCTCAATCCCTCCACCCCCTAAACCCCCCTCGCCCCCACACTAGCTGTCATCTGTTCTCCATCTATGAGTCTGTCTTTCTTTTGCTTGTCAGTTCAGTTTGTCCGTTAGATTCCACATATGAATGAATGGTATTTGTCTTCCTCTGACTGGCTTATTTCACCTATCATAATGTTCTCCAGGTCCATCCATACTATTGCAAAGGGTAAAATTTTCTTGTTTTTTATGGCTGAGTAGAATTCAATTGCGTAAATGTCCCACAGTTGTTTTATCCGCTCATCTATTGATGGACATTTGGGCTGCTTCCATATCTTGGTGATTGTAAATAACACTGCAATGAATATAGGGGTGCTTATGTTCTCTCGAATTAGTGTTTTTGGGTTCTTTTGGCTATATTCCCAGAAGTGGGATTGCTGGGTCAAAAGGCAGATCCATTTTTAATTTTTTGACGTATCTCCATACTGCTTTCCACAGTGGCTGAACAGTCAGCATTCCCACCAACAGTGCAAAAGGGTTCTCTTTTCTCCTCGCCAGCACTTATTGTTTTTTGATTTATGGATGATGGCCATTCTGAAAGGTGTGAGATATATCTCGTTGTTGTTTTTATTTGCCTTTCTCTGATGGTTAGTGATGTTGAGCATCTTTTCATATGTCTATTGGCTATCTTTATGTCCTCTTTGGAGACATGTCTATTCAGTTCCTTTGCCCATTTTTTAATTGGTCATTTGTTTTTTGGTGTTGAGTTTTGCAAGTACTTTATAAATCTTGGGTGTCCCAGTGTTTAAATCAGGGCAGAGTATTGTGAACCTGAGGTTCTCTGAGGGCAGGGGACTTAACACGTCAGCACATGAACAGTACACCATGGAAGTGTTGCCAGATGGCAAGGCAGAGCCGCATGAAGCAGAATTTCTCCCATTTGTGTAGTTTCTTGGTGTGGCCGTACTTCCTGGTTGCATAGACCAGTGTCCACAGGATGGGACAACCTCCAGAGGAAAGAAGAGAAAAAACCTGTGTGCTTTGAGAGTAGGAGGAAAGTAAGTAAAATCTGATCTTCAAATCATCTGATTCCAGGTAAAAATAGGTTGGATGCCCACAGTGGTATCATCATGAAAGACAAGAACCAAATCAAACAAACGTGTTTATTAATACCCCTGAGATAACAAAGGAGGCCAATTAGAAACCTTTGGGAAAGCCTGAAATAAAAGGAAAAGACATACAGAGTCCAGCAGAAGTAAGACCTGCTTGAGTGTGGTTGGTAGGGTAATCATATGGGTGTAATAACTTATAGTTTTAATTTGAACATTTCACCTAAAATGTCACATGGTGTGCTCGAGTGTGCTATTGTTGTTACAGAATTAATCTTTATGATTTTGTAAAAGATTTTGTAATAAAAACGGGGCTTTGTTTGTGCACCCTGTATATAAAAAACATATCAAAAACACCTACACCAAAAAAAAAAAAAAGGCATTTTCACTTATACATAACCATTCATTTCTATATAGATTTCTGTAAAAATATGTTGTAAGTAATAGAGGAATAACAAAAATGAGAGGTAAGAAATAAATACCCACTACCACTTGGCTGGTTTAGAGGACAGGAAAACCAGCTCACGTTTTCTATAGCACCAATCCCTTAAAGTTCTTTTCTTCATCTTTGGCATAAATCTACTTGCCAGCGCTCTTCTCCTGACACCCCAAAAGGAAAAAATACTACAGAAAAACAAAACTTATTTAGTAACAGAGTCAGTACAACCAGGATTTATCCCTAATCTGGAGATACCAACCCAAGCTCCAGAAAGACAGCTATTCCTTCCAATTTGAATGACCTCTGATTATAAATCAGAAGTTATCACATAGTCAGGACATGATCACTCTGTTGTGAGAAAGAGCAACAGTCCTTACTTCTGGATGCCTCGTGGGTTAGGGATGGTGGGGGCGGGGCGGGGGATGGTGCCGGTTGAGAGGATACTAGGGAATGACGTCTAGCTTAAATCCTTCTGCTTCAAGTTCCAGAGCAAGATCCTTTTGTTCTCAGTTGGTAACAAGACTCTTCCTCTAGGCCTCTATGAAGTCTCTAGAGGAATTTGGTTGATTTAGACTTTAATTACTGTACTAAAATTTGAGAACACCAGAGATTTCAATTAATCCCACTCCCTCATACAGAGTTATACAGGTCTAACTTCACTAAGGATAATTCCATGTCAGAGAGCAGCAAAAATTGGTAGCACACTCTCTGGCCTAACCTAAGTCTGTAACTCATTGCCTCTCCCTAACCCACATGCCTGGGATTCCAAGGTGTTAGGTCTTTCTGACTCAATTATCTTGCAGTGATTCAATTTACCTTTTCCCAAACTGAATAACAGAAACATGTTCAACAATCTATTATAACTCTCCCTCTGACCTTAAACTGCTGATTAAACTTTCCTCCTCATTTTGTTTTATATTCTAAGACCCTTTCCCTCTCCTGAGCAACTATGTGCCTTCCACTTTAATGCAAATGACCCCACAGTAATTATTTGAGCAAATAAGCCCACCAGTCCATTCATGGCTTTGGGGAAGGCTACAGTGGTTCACAAAAAGGAGTGCAAAAATAAAATAACAAGATTCCTTAAAAACATGGAGACAGTCTGGCAATTGGGCATTTATCATTTTACTCTTTAGCATAATTTTTTTTAGAAATGAGTTCAGAGAATCTAGATGCAGGCGATCACCCTGGAGAACCAGACAAATCTCTCAGCAATTAGCCAGAAAATATGATGATCTGGTCCCTCTGGCCCCCACAAGATGCTCTAAACACCCTATGTAACTCACTCTCCTCTATGT